TCTATCTATCTATCTATCTATCTATCCCATCCATCCATCCATCCATCCATCCATCCATCCATTTATCTGTCTGTCTGTCTTTCTGTCTCTCTCTCTCTCTTTCTCTATCTATCTATCTATCTATCTATCTATCTATCTATCTATCTATCTATCTATCTATCTATCTATCTATCCCATCCATCCATCCATCCATTTATCTGTCTGTCTGTCTTTCTGTCTCTCTCTCTCTCTTTCTCTATCTATCTATCTATCTATCTATCTATCTATCTATCTATCTATCTATCTATCTATCTATCTATCTATCTATCCTCTTAACATCTCTCTCTCTCTTTATCCTTCCCCCAAAATCAAGGCAATTCAGCAGTAATTATCATCCCGTCTTTCCTTAGCAATTGGAAAATCTTTTTTTTTCTTCCCGTGTTTGTAAGAGCAAGGGTTAACATGTGACTTTCTTAAGGCAGCGATACCATTATAAATTATTATGACAGCCTTGATTTATACCGACTGCCATAGAACTCCTGCCGAGAGTCACGTAAATGCTTTCTTTGAATAAACCTATCAATTCACACAGCCTCATTCGATTGCTTAAGAAGTCTTAAGATTTTTTTTTCTCCTATGAATTCTCCTTAGTCTACTATAGAGGGGGATCAAACTCAAGGCAGGATCCAACCTTTGCTTAGATCTGGCCCATGGGGCTGGGCTGGAAATATCAAAGGACCTCTGCCAGCAGAAATGAGGCAAGGGGGGGGGGGGCGCACATACACCCATCCCCCACAGCCCATTTTCAGCCAGCAGAGTGCTGCAGGAGGCTGTGTAGTAGATCCCGGTCTACTGGTTGACTCATATGGCATTCTGAATTAGAAACTAGTCAACTGCATTGAATTGAGAGAACTGTATGAACCCAAGATAGCCTATGTGATAAGGAGTGTTGTTCTGTTGACCTCAGAAGTCACGTGAAGCCTGACAATTCACTTTGCTGGAATAAAACCCTGGGATAATAAACATGGGTGTGACTTTTACGAGTTCACGAATTAAGTTATTTATTCACCCATATGCTCCGTCTCTCTTCAAACTGTTTTATCAATGGCCTTTGCTCCAAAGTGCGTTTGAAAAACAGGGCAAAGCACAAAGAAATAGAAATCTACTCTATATACGGTATAATTGTTTAGCTATAATTCTGCAAGTTCACGGGTTATTCTGTAAGACTATGGAATTTTCTGTTCTCTCTATATAAACTGATAGAAAGAATATGCAGAAGAAAGTATAATTGTCAATCAATCTGAATGGAGCTGGAAGACACCTTGGAGGTCTTCTAGTCCAACCCCCTGCTCAAGCAGGAGACCCTACACCATTTCAGACAAGTGGTTGTCTAGCCTTTTCTTGAACAACTTCTGAATGCAAGTTGTTCCACTGATTAATTGTTCTCCTTCGTTCTAGGTTGCTTCTCCCCTTGATTAGCTTCCATCCATTGCTTCTTGTCCTGCTTTCTGGTATTTTGGAGAATAGCTTGACTCTCTTATGAGGTTTCTATTTCTATTTATTAAATTTATAGGCCGCCCAATCCCGAAGGACTCCGGGCGGTTTACAGAAATAAATTTTTAAGAAAAAGGTTAAAAAGACAAACACAGGAAAACAAATTAAAAGAAACACATCATGCACCCAGTCTAAGCGGGGCTGGACCTCGGTCAGGAGGTCAACAGCCCCAGGCCTGCCAAAATAGCCAGGTTTTAATAGCTTTTCGGAAAGCCATGAGAGTGGGTAGGGTCCGGATCTCTGGGGGTAGTTTGTTCCATAGGGCCGGAGCGGTGACAGAGAAGGCCCTCCTCCGAGGCGCTGCCAGCCG